GTTTATGCCTTATCTGTTTTGGGCAGATTTCCTCCTTTTTCAAACCCTTATTTTCTCATTCTTGGCTCTTTTATCTTTGACTACTGCGGTTGTGTGAGTGGCTGTGTTTAATGTCGAGGTTTGTGTGGAAGCAGAATGTGTTTATATCAGCTCTCCAGCGTAGGAGCAGTTTCCTTTATACTGAAGTGCATGGGAAGGAGTACAAAGAAGAGGTCGAAAGTGCGTCTGCACTTCAATAAAGAGCCTAGTTTGTCCTCTTTGATGCTTTGCTGCCACACACTTCAGCTACAAAGAAACTGCGCTCTTGCCTCTTATAACCCAAGGTAAAAGACTGAGTTTTTCCTCACCGAGCTCACAACACAGCACATCCCACAAATGCGCCCGCTTTTTTTACGAACTCTAATTTGAAATTTATTCACACATGGTAAAGACATGCTTATGTGCATTTTAAGACAGTTTTAGGGCCGCCTGTGGTCCATCAGACCATCAGACAGTGAGTGGAGGGGCTTTGGGTCAATCCCCCTAACAAGGATCCAGCCTACTGAAGATTCCTTTTCCAAATCACTTAGTCCCTGAAAAAAATCCAGCAAGGCCAGCGTGTGGTTCCACTGTACGTCACCTTTGACCTTTTTGTAAAGCGGTGTAAAATTACCCCACTGGAATCGCACAATACGTCTACTATCTTGTGGCCTAAGAACATCCAGGAGAATTATTTTAATGGGCTTTGTATTCAGAAGCCTGTATTCCATTGTGCTCGTACCTTTCTGGTTTTATTGGCTTCAATGATACGATCTGACATGTTAAACAGTTTTAACTTGCAAAGGGGCTTTGCCAAATATATCTCTTTTTAGGCCTCATCGTTTTGTTCAAAGGTGTAAGATATTAGTGAAATCAGCACCACAAAGCCAGGCTTTTCTGTGCTCTGAGTTAACCCGCAATGAGAGCCCACGAGCTCTGTTAAGACATTAAAAGAGAAATTTGATGGTAAGAAATGCCCAAATTCACCTGATAATCAAAGCAAAGAAAACTGTCTACTTTTATTCATTGAAAGCAGACAGGATGATGTCTGATAAGACTATGTGTCCATTGTGTCATTAAGAAAATGATTTGGCCTAAACAGCTATAACGGTTACTGGCAGTCCTTTTTTGGTCTAGTTGTATCCACAGCAGCCTCAAAATTAAACAGCAGTTTTTCCCAAAGCAGCTGCATTTGTACTGATTGGATACAAAACTCCAGGCAGTCAGTTTGATTCACCTAATGACAGGAATCACAAACGCATGCAACAAAGAAATTAATTACCTGTATAGATTACTTCATGGAACGTATTTATCTAAGCGCTCTTTTACCTGTTTGGCTGTTCCCATTTTCGCCATTACATCTACTCTTTGTAGTTTCAGATGGACAGTGTCTGTCGGTATCCTGTTCTCTGAGTCTTTTGCGGCTTGTGGACAGAATTCAGAGTCCGAAAGATGAAGATTACCGCGCAGAAAGATTCATTCGAGTGATTGACAAGCAGCCCATCTCTGTTAATCAAGTTATGCTTATTCTGATTAGGGATCCTAATGTGAGTAAGATAACTTGGTTAAGGTGTTTACATGAGAGTTGCAATAATATGCGTATTGCATTAGACTGGTTATAATTGAATTTTGGGCGTGCATGTAAATGCTCTTTCTCTCTCTCTGGCTCCTCTCCAAACGCCAGCCTCTACGCTTTATGTGAGGGGAGATCTCAGTGTATATTGCAGGTCTCCGCTGATCAGAGACGAGGTGAGACACGAACACGTGTGCAGCAGTTCATATGAAAGCCACCTGGCTCTCCCCAGCTCTGTGATTTATGCCTTTGATAACAACAACCTAGAAATGCTTTCAACAACAACAAAGTAGTGCTGAAGGATGACAACAATAGGACACTTGTCAGTCTGGAGATGAAAAGATGTCTTGCTAGCAGGCTGTCTCTTTCATAACTTTGATAAATATTTTCTTTCTTTTGTTTTGTTTCATTCGTCTTCATGCGTTTCTCCGTATCTTATCAAAGGTTATTGATGAGGAAAAAGTGTGGAGTCAGTTTTCCATCTCTTGACAGGGTGCCTCCTTCATTCTGCGAGGAGGCATCAGCGAGTTTCTCCGCCTCCTTTTTGACCTGTCAAAAGATGAATTTTCTTTAGCCTGTCATTCTTAGCATCATACAGAGCCTGGAGTCAGATAGAGAATTTACTCAAACCCCGAAGAACCTGTACGTCAGTATCAATTATAGTGTAAAAATCTACATAAATATTTCAGCAGGCCTCATGGAAAGCAAATGGAAAATAACAAAACTAGCTAAATTGAATTAATCCTATGAAATCCTAATTTCATTTAAGTCAATTTTAAGTGTCTTGATTTGTTATATTTCTCAAATTTTTCTCAAACAGTTTCCACATTTTCTTGTTTATGGAAAAATCTAAATAGTATTATAAATAATGATCGATGGAAGCTATTTAAATGTGTCCATTTTATTTAACTTACCCACTCGCTGAACATTACTGAAATGCAGCAAATGCAAACCACTCAATTTTACATATACAAAAAAGATTCGACAAATCAGTTTTAACTACTGAGCTGCTTTTTAATGTGCCATTTTCTCTTTAATCTGGAGTATTATTATGTCATTTAGCCCGTAATGTAAGAAAATATGTCATAATAACAGCAATTTCCCTCTTAACACATAGTGTTTTGCTGCTCTGAACCAAATCATTCTTGTAGTCCTTGGAAATGATTTGGACACCCATGTCCTGACCACTATTTCCCATAATCTTTTTTTCTACTCCGCTATTTTCTGTTCATCTGTCTCACTCATCGCCTCTCTTTGCTGTTCATCCGTCTTACTCTTCTGTCTTTTCCCTGAAACGGACTGTCGCTGTGGGCTGAAAGACTTGTTCACCAGCCTCTTTTCCCGCACCGAGCTGCTGCGTTAAGCAGCTTTGCTTGAAAATTCTGCTTGCCAGCAATTCAGCCCTCGTTTACAGCCCCTTTTTGTACAAAATGTATTCAACATTTTAGACGGTCCGGAAACGGCTTTTTTTATTCATGCTCTTAATATTTGTTTGTAATTATGATTATAATGTCAATCTTTTTAAGATGGTTCAAAGTTCTATGGCCTGTTGTAAAACACTGTGTGCAATCATTCATGCCCTTCTGTACATTAGTGGTCATTTCCACTTTGGAATGCATTTCTGTGTTGCTTTTGGCCCCGTCTATTTTCTCCTCGGCTTAAATATTAATTCTTGAACGTATTTGATCTATATGGTCTCTATAGACGCATCTTCTGTCCCTGGGCTCCACCTGTGCATTAGACAGTTGACAGTCTTCTTATAGCCGAAATGAGGGGAGTGCTCAGTGACTGATGGTGCTCCTTTGTCAATGACAGGGGGGGGCTGCTGCTGGCAGTTTGGGGCCAAAGAACAGTACAGATTACATTAACATCAGTCAAGCTGTTGTCAGACTAGTAGGACATAAATAGGACCTTATTGATGCATAATGCAACAACTTTTTAACCTGACGTTTTTCTGAGTAATAGAATCAGAGGAGCACTGTGTCTGTGGCTAAAAATGCAGCATGCCAGAAAAGATCTGCAGACGTCTTCGGAAATGTCTCAATGCGGGGAAAAGTCAGTGGAGTCATGTCTGGAGTTTTGAGGGGCTTAACAAAATAATCAAGAATTTGTATGCGCCAACTGCCATTTGGTCATTTTGTTGTCACAAGCATGCAATAGAGCCGCTGAGCGAGCTTGAAAACATGGTAATAGTAGAAAGTGCATCAGCCCCTGATAAGGGCTGGAATTAATCTGACCGGCGCACAACCTCGTTTTTCCTCGTCTTTGCTGAATATCATTTTGCTCTTAAAGTGCTTTGACAGCTTTGTAATGGAGAAAACAAAGCTATTGGCCATGTCTGGCACAATCAAAAAAATCCCGGGAAAACCTTGGCATAAAAATTGCACTGTGCCGTTTGATCACGGCTGACACTGCCGATACTTTGTGCCTCTTCCTTCCCCCTCACTGCAGTCAAGTTCACAGAGACTCGCAGAATACAGGTGCAGGCAGAGAAAAGAGCCCGCGTGCCCCTAAGAAGAAAACTGCTTTTTCAGGCATGTGTTATGTGCTGTCTCATGTCATTTGACATGCTACTCTGTTTGTCAGGTCGCTCAAAGTTTATCGTGGGCTGAGAAAGTGCACATAAAACACCGAACTAAGTCAGCCGAGGTTAAGAAGTGCCGTGAATATGAATACGTTGTTTTTTTCCCAGAAAATGTTATTTTCCTTCCTTTTTTTTATATATTTATATAAGCCCTCATATTCTTTAGTGCCCGATCTTTCTTCCTTTCTGTGTTACACTCCTGACGAGGGCTAAAAAATGTCTGCGCTACAGGCTTGAAGAGGAAAAGCTGAGGACAGTTCCCCGGAGTCCGGACACCAAGGCCCCTGGGCCTCCACAGCTCATAAACAGATGTGTCCTTGTCCCCAGCCAAGCGCAGCCACTCATGGCAAAGCAGGGGCCCAATAATTGTGAAGAATTGAAAGCTAAATATTGGCTTTATCTCCTCAGTAATAAAAGGGCCATGAAATTGATTTAATGCCGCAGCGCTTCTCTTGGGTGGCTTCTTACAGCGTGAGCACAAAACAATGAGCAGCAGCCATCTATTAATTAACCCACCTAATCCTGCAAAGTTAATCTCTCACCACAACTTTGCCCGCAACTAACTTCCAAGCCAGTAGGTCTTCTGGGGGTGTCATGACAATGGCGGTGAGGGGAAAATAGATTCAGCATTTATAAAATGTT